AGGCCTGGTGTGGATGCTCTGCCCCGTGGCATCGGGTATATACAGACACATGGAGATGAATGTATATGCATGAGTGTGTCTATATGCATGTATATATATGCATAAACACCTACACATGCATGCAGGCACATACAGACCCCCACATCTAGATGCACAGGCATGCGTACATATATATGCATGCATAGAGATATGCCTGCATGTATCTGTATGGGTATGCACGCAGGTATGCAGATGCATAAATACACATACATGCATATGTGCATGTCTATATGCAGATGCACGCATACATATATGTAAATCATGTATGTATGTGCATGCATATGCATGTACATGTATGCGTGTATGTATATGCACATATGCATGCCTATATCTATATGCACGTGCATGTGTGCATATGTGTGCATGCAAATAGAGGTATTTATGTGCATGCACGTATAAGTATGTGCATACATGCACACACAGGTGTAGACACAGGTCCTCCAGGGAAGCTGAGGTTGGATATAGGAAAACCTGCCTGAGCCGGAGGGTGCTGAAGCACTGGAAGAGGCTCCCAGAGAGGCGGTGGAGTCTCCCTCCTCGGAGGTGTGTAAGCCCCGGGTAGACAAAGCCTTGGCTGGGATGATGTAGCTGGGGCTGGTCCCGCTTGGAGCAGCGGGTTGGACTCGATGTGGCCGCCTGAGGTCCCTTCCACTCTTGTGGTCTATGATTCTGCGACTTCATGGCAAGGTCACTGCAGGCCAGAGCCAGTCTTTCCCTGGTCCTTCTTCCTGCTCCACGATTGTGTATAAGGAAAGTGGGTCTGTGTCCATTCCCTTCGGATTACGGGAAACCTTCCTCTGAAAGGCCGTGGACCTTCTTCTTCCAGGACGAGATTCAGCTGGCTGGTCTTTGAGGCACAGGAGACTGAGCCCTGGGCTCTGACCCTGTCCGCGTGTCCTGGCAACGGAGCCCGATGGAAGGCAGAGCTGAGCTGCACCTTACAGACTGACTATATCAGAGCTGCACCTTATAGACGGGTTGGATCAGAGCTGCACCTTACAAACTGGCTCTATCAGAGATGCTGGAGCTTTGGCCGCGAGGCCCCGGCCCGTGTCCCCCAACCCCCGCCAGGCCTGCGGGACTCAGCCGTGCCACCCACGCATACACGCCGGGATCGGGGCCGCCCACGTGCGCGGCCGGGCGGTCACTTTAATTCCCCGCCCCGCCCCGCGCTGCCATTGGCTGGGGGTTTGGAATGCTGACGGCGGCCGTGCGCTCCGATTGGCTGCCGCCCCGCGCTGAATACTTCCTGGAATGTCCGCGCCGCAACGTTCCATCCGGTCAGTGTCGCCGCCGCGCGGGCCTCCCCCTTCACCCCGGGCTTCGGGAGGGGGGGGGGAATCGGCCCGGGCGGGGCGGCCCGGCAGCCCCGGGGCTCCCTGCGATGGAGGGGGAACGGGGGGACTTCCCCCCGGGCATCTCCTCCACGCCCCCCGGCCTGCGGGGGGAGCGCTGCAAACATCTAGATCTGTCTCCGTGTGCACGGCTGTGTGCGCATTTATGTGTGTGTATGTGTGGGCACATCTGTCCGTGCATGTGTGGACAGACATACTTCTGTATGGGTGCATATATACATGCACACGTCTATGTAAGCATATACATGCCACACATGCTTGTGCATAGAGATATATAAATGTATATGTGCATGCATGTATGTTCATACATGTGCACACATATACATATACGTACACATTTGCATACATGCATAAATACACATGCTTATGCATATTGATACACGCATGTACATATATATGCATGCATGTATGTGCTTGTGCATATGTGCTTGTGCATATGTGCATGCATGCATATGTGTATACGTGCATTCACTTGTGTGTATAGGCATGTCCATATATGCTGTCCCTGCACCTGAAGGAGGGTGTTTGTGCCCGGAAGCTTGCAGAGAACAATTTTTCCCACTATTTAGTTGGTCTAATAAAAGACATCGCATCTACCCAAAGAACCTTGTCTGCATATATACATGCATGTATATGTATGTACAGGTGTACCTATGCATATATGTACATATATATGCAGGTATTTTATTTGTGCACACACACATGTATATACACATACACACCTATGCACACACACAACCCCCCCGCGGTATATCGGTGCCTGTCTCTATGTTGCACTTGTCTTGCTGGGGTGCAAAGGGGGGTTGCAGCCGGTGTAGGGGAAGGGGTGGGGGGGGGTTGATTCTCTACCCCTGTCCCTGGCAGGGTCTTGATATTTGGGTTGCAATTGGAGCAGAAGGACGGGCGCGGGTTCCCGACGGGATCGGAACCCGGTGGGTGCGGGTACCAAACGCCACCCAGGCCGAGCACGTCCGTGCCCTGCGGTCACCCGGACTCTGCCGTCCCGTGTCGGAGCCCTCCCAGGGCACTGTGCAGGCGCCGCTCCCTGCCCCGCTGTCCTAATGGCTGCCGCCGGCTCCGCGCGTGTGGTTGGTGCCCAGGTAACGGCGCGGGAGCCCGAATCCCCGAGGATGACATCCGAAACCTTTGTGAAGGACATTAAACCCGGCTTGAAGAACCTGAACCTAATCTTCATTGTGCTGGAGACAGGTGGGTGCCGGCACCGCAGGGCAGGGAGAAACCTGGGGATCCCCCCCTACCTGGTGACTCACCGCCATGCCGCCCCCCCAGGCCGTGTGACGAAAACAAAGGACGGGCACGAGGTGCGGACATGCAAAGTGGCCGACAAGACTGGCAGCATTAACATCTCGGTGTGGGATGATGTGGGGAACCTCATCCAGCCAGGGGACATCATCCGCCTCACCAAGGGGTAGGGGTCCTGGGGGTGGGGGAGGCGCTGGCAGCTGCTTTTGGGGGGCATGGGGCTAACCCCGGCCCCTCTCCCTGCCAGGTATGCGTCGGTCTTCAAGGGCTGCCTGACGCTGTACACGGGGCGTGGCGGAGACCTGCAGAAGATCGGAGAGTAAGAATGGCCCGGATGGTCTGGGGGGGTGAGAGCAGAGGGGCAGGGGCCCCAGACCCCTGGGTTCTTTCTGCGTCCTGCACTGGGAGGCACAGCGGAGCGCACAGAGTGAATCCCCAGGTCCAAGTCGGGGCAGTTGCTGCCTGTGCCTCAGTTTCCCCACCTGTTCTGCAGGACGGGTGGGGGTGTGGAGCCTGGCTGGCACCTGGTGCGGCTACAGACCCTGGCACTGTTTCCTCCTCTTCTCCCCCAGGTTCTGCATGGTTTACTCCGAGGTGCCAAACTTCAGCGAACCGAACCCCGAGTACGTGGCACAGCAGTCCCAGAGCAAAGCTGTGAGTGCTGGGGGCCGGGGCAAGCAAGGGGCGGAGACCGTCCAGGCTCCCTGCGGCACGAGGCTGGCGCCCGGGGGGGCTGAGACATCTCCTCCCTGCCTCCCTCAGGCCCAGAACGAGAACGCAACGCCCGCAGCCTCGCAGACCGCGCAGGGCCCCTCCGCACCCTCCCCAGGTAGGCCCGGGCACCCTGGGCCTGGTGCAGGCAGGGACGCCACTCATGGGGGCACCAGGACACCTGGGTTCTCCCCCCTCTAAGAAGGGGAGGGGTCTGTTGGGTTGGAGCCAGGAGCCTGGATCCCCCCCCTCCACTCATGCCATCCGCTTGGTTTCCAGCTGCTGACAGCCAGAATGGCAATGGGCTGAGCGCCCCGGGCCCTGCGCACCCACCCCCTGCGGCCCCCCACCCCGCCAGCGGCCGCATCACCCGGAGCCAGCCCAACCACGCCAGCACCGCCGGTGCCGTCAGCAATGGCAAAGAGACGCGGCGCAGCAGCAAGAGATAACGGGGCCACGGCACAGATGACAGTGTCACCCCCCCGCCCCGGAGGGGTGGGGGAGGGGGTTCCTTCCCCCCCAGGCTGAGCAAAACCCCCCGGCCCCACCACCGTGAGGGCAGCCCGAGCCCCACGGATGTTGCCAAAGCTGCCCTGGGTTCCAGGGCTGCCCCAGGGAGCGGGTGGGAGCAGCCAGGGACCCTCTAAAGGCATTTGGGTGCCATAATGTGAGGTGAGCCAGGGGGTCTCAGCCCACCCTGCTGGCCCCCCGGGGCCAGGGGCCGTCAGGGCTTCACTGCTACGTGCCAGCTCTGGGTGCCAGGGTCCCTGGGGATGCCATGGGCAGAGGTTGGGGGTCTCCTCTATGCCCACCTGGGGCCCCGTGCTTGCAGCCGGAGCACGGGTGAATAAAGCTTTTACTCCACTCTTGCCTTCGCTGCTGGGATGGGTCCTACGATGCCCAAATGAAAGGTCAAAGGTCAGTGCTGGGCAGTGCCTCTCTGCACCCATGTCCCCAGCCTGGGGTTGCCACCCCCGAGGCGCTGTCCCCCTCCCAGACTTCCCTGGGCAGACAGGCAGACAGCCCCAGACGGCAGCCTGGCCTAGTGGGTGCACACCCACGTGCCCGAGCTCCCTCCCTCCCCCCTCCTTCCAAGTCTCCTCCCTGGCCTGGAGCCCCACCCCAGCCCTGCCCCCGGTGCCCCTTGACCCCAGGTGCTGGAGCAGCAGCCGTGTGGAGACGCAGCCACCTGGGGCCCGACCCCCCACTTCCCTGCCCTGGGGTGACACCTGAGACCCCTCTCCGCAGTGCCTGGCAAGGTGAGCCCCTGCCCAGACCCCCCTGGGGGGGTGCAAGCTGAGGGGGGTGCACCCAAACTGGTACCTGGGGTGCAGGGGCTGGAGCAGTACCATTGGCAGGAGGCCCCCATGGGTGGCCTGGGTGGGATCCACGACGCAGGAGCATCTTCCTAGCTCTGTATGGAAAGGGGACCCCCCAACCTCCCTCCCCTGGGCCGGGGGAGCTGGGGCTGGATGGGGAAGCCAAGGACCCTGCTGTGTGGGGGAGGTGACCAGGGCTGCAGGGCAGCAGTGGCAGAGCCTGGATCAGGCTCTGTTCCACCTTGGGGTGGACTGAGAATTGCCCCCTGCTCAGGCCCAGGGATGTGGGGCTGTGACCTTTGGCCCTGTGTGGGGTGTGTTTATGCATGTGCGGAGGGGGGGTCATGCCTGACCCGCTTATCATGACACCGAGAGAAACATTAACCCTGGTGCAGGATGGGGGCAGGGCCCAGGCCAAGGACATGTTACCCCCCCAGCCCTGGGGTGAAGCAGCCCCAGCCCCACGGAGCAACATGCTGGGGGGGTGGTAAGAAGTGCATGTGTGTTCATGTGTGTACACGCACGGATGGGCCCGACCAACCCCCGCGATGCCAGCCACAAAGCCTCTTCCCCACTAGCAGAGGTTGCGGGTGCAACCGGGGAAACTCAGGCAGGACCCCACCTCAAGCAGCTGGTGCCCAAGGGTGGGGTGCAAACCAGGCATGCAGGTGGCGGTTCTCACACGCCTGTTCGTAAACACATGCACATGCTCACGCCTGGCCTAGCGCCCGCCCTGGCCTGAAGGACACTGACACATGGGCAAGGCTCCGGGCTGCTACGTGACGGCTCCGGGGACAAGGCGGGGGGGGGGGGGGGGGGGGGGCTGTGCCAGCCCTCGTGCCACCTGGCTGCAGTCAGTGCTGGAGCTGCGGGGAAGGTGGCTGAGAGCTGCTGCGACAGACGCCCGTGCCCAGCAACCAGGTGGGGCCACGCAGCGCCGTGGGGGGGCCTGCCCTGGCTGGATGTGGCTCTAGCACTGGCCCTGTCCTTCAGGTGCCCTGGAGATGCCCGTGGGGCTAAAGCCACACACCCCACCAGGGCAGGCAAAGCAAGACACCCCTCCCAACAACTTGGAGCAGGAGGGAAAACTGAGGCATGTCGGGGGTGTTACAGGAGGGGAAACTGAGGCAGGCCCCAGCTGTCGGCGATGCGGTTGTTCCAGGTGCCTGGAGCTGCCTCCCCCCAAGCAGGGGGTGCTCCTGGGTCCTGGCTGACACCCCATCCTACCCCCCCAACTCCCCAGGCTCGGCACCGTCATGGTCCTCCGGCTGTGGCTGTGGCTGTGGCTGGTGCCAGGGGTGGCAGCGGGACACCCGCCCGAGGACGCGGAGCAGGAGCAGGGCTACTACCTGCAGCAGCTGTTCGGGCTCTACGGGCACAATGGGACGCTGGCCCCCGAGGGGCTGCGGCGCCTGCTGCGGTGCCTGGGGCTGGGCCGGGTGCAGGTGGTGCAGATCGACCACGAGGACCTGGGCCATGGCCACGTCGCCCATCTCGATGCGCTGGACCTGCAGGATGGGCGCCACGTCCATGCCCGTGCCCACCGCCACAGCCACGGCCACGGCCACGACTACCCCGGCTCACAGGGCCCTGGCAATGCCACCACCAGGTACCACCCTACTCCCCTGACCCACGCCCCTCACTCCCAACCTGCAGCGCCCTGCCTGGCTGGTGTCCCTCACTCCCAACCCACAGCTCCCCCAAGCCTTCCGGTGCTCATTCCTGACCCGCAACCCCCTCGTCCCACCCCAGGGCTCACCCCAGCTTGTCTCCCTCCAGTGGGGACATGCCTCCTGCTCTTCCTTCCCCCAGCCCCACACCCGAGGCTCCCCTGGCAATGCCCACATCGCTCGCTGAGACATGGAGCCCCAGTCCCAGGGGGGACCCGGGGCCCGGGAAGGATCCCCCGGGGCTGAGCCTGCTGGAGCGGGTGCTGGCGCTGGACCACTCCATCTACAACCACCTGCACGAGGATGTGAGTGGGGGCAGGGGAGGTCTGGGGGGGGGTCTGTCTCCTCTGCTTGGGGCCGCATAAATTGGGAACCGTGGCCCCGAGCCCCTGCTGTGACCACTAGCCCATGTGGCCCTCCCCAGTGTGGGCAGCGAACCAGGCATCCGGGTGCCCAGGGTCAGGCAGGGAGCCCCTTAGGACCAAGAAGGGAACCCAGGTGTCCACCCCCCTGCCCCTGCCCCAGCTCCAGCGCCCCCTAACCCCGTGACCCCTGCAGTGCCTGAACGTGTCGCAGCTGCTGGTGAACTTTGGCCTGGCCGGGACGGCGCAGATCACCCCCGAGCAGTTTGCGCTGCTGTGCCCGGCACTGCTCTACCAGATCGACGCCCGCGTCTGCCTGCACCACCACCCTGCCCCAGCGCCACCCGTGCCCCAGCCTGCCCTCGGCCCGGGTAAGGCCTGGCTCCAGGGAAACTGAAGCACGGGGAGGGAAAAGGCACCGGGGAAAACTGAGGCATGGGTGCGGGGGGGACACACAAGGCCCTGGGGAGGGAAACTGAGGCATGGGGGGAGGGGAAATGGGGAAACTGAGGCACTGGGAGGGCAAGGGCAGGGAAACTGAGGCAGGGGGCA